AAAATATCAGTCCAAAGACTTTTGCAATGAACTGTATATTCATTTCTATAGTTTATATTATAACCATTCAATTTTATCACTTTTTAAAATTTTTAGAAGATCTATTCTGTAATAGCTATTAATCTTTATTAATTTTTTAAATCTTCTATATACTAATCTATTATATTTTTATTAATATACATGACTAAAATTTTCTAGTCTTTTTTAAGAAATGAATGAATCAAAAGAGTTGAATTTTATGTAAAACTGGTAGGATCTTGAAACAATTATTGTTTTTTTAATATATTTTTCAGTATTTTCACTTATTTCAAGTGATAGAACATTGTGACTTCTTTTTTTAGTACTAAAACTGATTAGGACCTGTATAACTTAATTTATTATATCATGATTAAACAATGAATTTCTATAGGTTGTTTGTGTATAAGTATATACATGACTGATAAACACATATTTTATGCAATATAATCTATATTGCGAGAACTGTTCTTGAATGGGATTGAATTGGTAACTTATGGTTGGTAACCTGGGAGCACACTCACTGTGCTATTGACCCACAGGTCTGAATTTATATAAAGATTTATTTTAAAGATCTTATAATGTTTTACTTTTTTTTTTCTCTTTTCATTTCAAATATTATTTTGAAGTTGAAATGTAAGACCCTAAAATAAGTAGCAATAGTAGAATTCTTCTTAGGTTAACTTCGATTTATTATATATCTCTTTGAATATATTGATTAAATCATGATATACAGTATTCTTTTATTAACAAAGGCAAACTGAAATAGTTTTTTTTTTTTTTAAAAAAAAAAGGTGAAATACTAACCTATCAGCGGGATATATCATATTGTTTTCTTAGAGTAGCTAGTTAAGACTTAATTTTGTTTAGTTCAAATTATCTTCTTATATTTTTAAATAATACAATCCTTTAACCAATAATGTACAAAGACGAGTCAATCATTATGTATGAACATTCTATTAATATCTCAATAAAGACACCCCCTGTTGATTGTGGGTTAAAAAAAAAAGTAAAAAAATAAACAAGATAAATGGATTAACAAAATAAGATAACGAATAATATTAAATTAAGCGTCTCAAAAATAATTAAATAATCAACCAAGAATCTTTAAAAATAAAATTCACGATTACAGTATATAGATTTCGAAAAAATGTAAGGAATTAGCAAAATATTTATTTTAGGATAATTTCGTAATGACGTAAATGCAAATCAGTTTTCTTTTTGCGCCGATCGTATAAACTGGTTTAAAAAAAAAAAAAATTTTTTTTCATTGCATATTCATAAGAGATGATAAGAGATGGGAAAACATAAATCATCAAAAACTCTAAAGACGCCAATTAATATCGAACCCTCATGGATTAATTTGGTCTACGACTATACGTCCAATCATGATCCAGAAGAATTACACGAGAGCATAAGTAAAGTCAAAGCATTACTTGACGACTCCAAGGCTACTTGGGAGCAACAATGTCAATACTTGAAAGATATTGGTGAGCTAATTTTATGGAAAGGATATCAAAAAGACACTGTAAAGAGATCCTAACATTCCATTATTTGTATCAGAAAAATTCTTGCCTTCAAAGAAGTCCAAGTGCAATCCTGATTCAACGGTTACAGCTCCATCTGCCAATTACTTAAATCAGATTGAGTTTATCGTCGAGCCGATAATCTCCGAGATCTATTTTAAGTCAGCGGATCCGTTGACAAAAAGACATTGCATTCCGATATTAGATTCGTGTTATATTATTTCTTCCAAATCACGGGTTTCTGATGATGTCTTAAAGAGATCGAATAAAACTATTGCGAGCTTTACGAGGGAATATTCCAATTATATTTCGAATGAGTATTATTCGGAACAATCATTTTATCAAAAGGCAACGACCATATATTTAACATTGGATTTTCCGATTGGGTTTTCCGCCGTTAGAGAAAATCTATTTGATACCATCTTTTTCTTAGTGGAATGCCTAACAAGTATTATTCAGCGTGTAAACATAGAAAAAAAGGTTCGAAAAGAATCTTCGTTAGTTGGTTCTATGTCTGTAAAGCTTTCACATCAGATGAGCGATTCTCAACATGTGATAAAATCGATTGTAGCATTACTATCCAGATTTCAAGAACAATTACGATTTAAATTCGAGAATGTTGGAGAAAGATACAGTAATCCTCACAGTAATCCGGATGATTCTAAAATGGAAGCAATGATTTGTAATTTACTTAACGGATGCCTCGTTATATGCTCGGATGATATTTATATTAAAGATGTTAGACAACTTTCAGGAATGGCTTTGGCTGCAACATTTAACCTGCTTGGTTCACAAAGCTTTATTAGCAAACAGATAGTAGATCAACTCTTCAAAGTTCAGAATGACCCGCAAGGACGTGATATATACATATTAAATAGGATGGGGATCAAAGTTCCTGATTCATTAATTGATGAGCGTGGATGGGCTGATGATGAACCTTTGATGCTAGCTGTTTCTCGAGGACTACTTTCGAATTTATCAAGGTCAATATTGGCATATCCAATATCTCTGGAGTGCGAGACAGCGGTTGCAGCTTTAAGGTCTATAACTAATTTTCTTCAGATGAAAATATCAAATGAGACAATTTTCACAATATTAAATTAAAACATAAATTTTAGGTCATATACAAACATAAAATCTCTTCATCATGTACTATTTCTGAGCATCTTACATTTTTCTGACAATGCTCTTAGCGCACAAACAAAAGTTGTGGCGTTTGAGACAATGGGAATTTGGCTCGAAGAAGCAGAAAATTTATTAAATGATCCTCATAGTAATGAACAAAGTACCAAGGATATAAAGTCAATATTTTCTCCAGATATATTGGAAAAGCTGATGTTATATGTTTGGAACAATTGGGATGATCCTGTTGATGCTATTCAATACAAGGTAGGCAATTGTCTATTTTATCAACGAATTCTACAATTATAAGAATTAAAAAATTCTTGTTCTGGGTATAAATAATGTTTAGGTCAAAACAATTTTTGAAAAATTATTGGATGTATATTGTCTCAAGTGCCATCTCGAAAATTCAATGGAATCATATAATGAGTTTCAAGTGGGCCTAACAAAACGGTTGATTGCGATGGATCCTTTCCGTAAAGTGAAATACGCGCTACTTTCTTTATTACTTCCCAGGGTTGGTACAGAGATTTTCCTGGAAGTACAACCCGAGTTTGTCAGTTGTACATTGGGCGTACTTCATAATCTTGTTATTGCGCCAAGAGCCGCGCAGCTGCTGATTTTATTTCTCGATCAACACTTGAAAGAAATCACGAAATCATCATCCAGCATTGACACAGTTGAAGTGGTGCGATATAAGGCAAGTGACCGAAGAGCGCACATCATTATTATTAGCATCTGGTTTTGTTTCTAATAGTCATCCGCGAATAGGATCCTGAAAGTCGATGGACAAGTTTATGGGTTAATCATGTTTGTAAAGGTCTCTTATCAAATGATGAAATCTTGAGGAAAAATATAGGAGCCTTTATTTTAAGGCCGCTGTTTAAAAATAAGCCGGCGTCATTTTGGAGGTTATTAGAGATACTACAAAATGAAAATAACTTGAAAAAATTTGTTGAAGATGAACAACATAGTTTAAATGCTTTGATGTTAATAATCAAGATTGCCAGATCTTTGGACATATTTGATAGCGGAAAGTTCATCGATGGTACTTACTTAATTATTATTCTAATTTAAACTTTTGTTATTTACACGAGCAGTTGTTTATTAAACATTTCATAAACTTCAGATTCTTCCAGTAACGAGAAATATAATGATAAAATTCGCGTACAATCCCTTCAGGATGCTATTTACCATCTAGACTCGAGTATTCGTATTGACGTTCTCGGTCTTATTTGCGAATCACAGAAGTCGACCACTGAAGTGACATTAATTGAACTTTCCCTTCTAAAATCTTTTTTCCGGATGAACCTCAATTCAACCTCCCCAGAATTTCGGCAAAAGCTTTATGGTCATTTGAATAAATTGTTCGTGAGGCTTCGAGGGAATTTATATGCCTTACAGAGGGATTCTAATTCTTTATTAGCGTATGTCGAAAAAAATAAGGATAAACAGAAGGTCAAAAAGGCCGAGTCAGAGTCCAAACTATTACTTGACAAGATAAACGATGTACGTGAATTTTTAAACTGGTTGGTTAAGTTTCTCGCGGCCTCTTTATATCCTGGGGCATCATTCCAACGCGTCTCTTGCGCGTTAAGAATATTTTCTACATTAGTTAAAACATTTGGAGTTAATAATACACCACTTCCTGATGGATTCATGGAAAATAGTATGACATTACCTTTTAAACTTCCAATGGCGACTCCGACGAACGTCAAACTAATTTTAAACTGCTTGATGAACCCGTTCGATGAGAATCGGACGCTTGCTTACGAAATACTGAATATGTTTCCTTCTCCACTACCTGGAATTGAATTGCCCGAACAAGTTCAAGAAATTTTGTTTTGGGCTTTAGATTCAATGACAAGTGCAAGGGCTAGTGAAAGTAATAGTGGTGCTACGATCTTTAGACTGGTGTTTACAAAATATGTCATTGGATTGGAGTTTGAATTGAACGTGGAGCTGGTGGATAATAATTCCTCGCAGAAACATTGCTTAGATGATGGTGTTGTACCCGCCGGTAAGAACTTGAGGTTTTTTTTTTTTTTCCTTTATTTATATTACTATCGAGATTTTTTTATTTAAAGTCATGCTGCAAACGTATTATTAGTTTCCTTTACGAGAAAGTTATTGGAACTCTTAAATAAACAGATTAATGTGGCATCTGATAATTTACTTCAGGCTTCTCAAAAACACCCAATGCATGGGACTCTCATTGCATTGCAACACATCTTTCGAGAAATCGATTATAATTCTGACTGTGTGAAGTCAAACTGGGTTAAATGGCTCGAGAATCATGACCGCGCAATTGGGTTAATTAGCGAGGTCTGTCGAGTGGTTTTGGAGGTATTGTCGAATCCATCACCCGAAGGGAATGTCCCGGCGTCATTTCAAGAAATGGAAGGGTTTATTAATGAATTGGTAGCGAGTTCCGAGGATTTTGACGATGATGGAAAGGAAGGGCCTATTAATCAAGTGATATTAAGTTTCTGCTGGCGAGCTGTTAAAGAAGCAAGGTAAAGCAGATCATTTTACTCAGTCCATTCGTGATTTTTAAAATAAATTGGTAATCTGGTCGATTTTTTAGTACTCTTCTTGCAGTCATCCTTTCAAGTGCACCCATTTCTCTGGATATCGAGGATAATGTAGGTTTTCATGGTGATTTATTGCGCGTCTCAAACTCAAAAATTTCTTATTCATTGACAGAAGGGTATGCTAGACCTTCGAAGAATTCGTGAAGGTGGCTCTTTGTTCAGAAAATTGCTGACATCTATTCGGCACAAAGGGGCATTTTCGGCAGTGTATCCAGGATATGTGTCTTTGTGCTCACGATTGTTAAGTTTACATCAAGATCAATTTGTTGAATTGCCTAAGATGTGGCTTGAGGTATTGTTTTCAATAAACTTTCAAAATATCTCGAGCATTATTTTCGGTTATAATATCGCAATCATTATTATATTAGGAAAATATTAGTTGCGTGATGGAAAATTCAATATCGATCACGCGTAGAAGCGCCGGTCTTCCTCTTTGTATATTAGCAATCGTAAGTAGTGAGCCTAGCAATAGAAAGATACTTCTTCCTTGGATCATGAAAAAATTAATAGAGATTGGATCGGAAGCCCCGGATCATGTTGTAGATCAGACAATCGATCTACCTCAAATACACGCATTCAATATATTACGAACCATATTTATGGATGCAACGCTAGGAAAAGATGTAATGCCATATGTTTCCGACGGATTTGTTTTGTCCATTAAAGGATTTTCTTCTTCAAGGTACCGTTTCTTATTTCTTATTTATTATTCCCACAAAATATGTTGAATTAACACGCAATTACATACTCTATATTATTACTGCAGTTGGGCTGTAAGAAATTGCTCTGTTATGCTATTTTCTGCACTATTGCAAAGAACCTTTGGGACAAAGAAGACCAAAGATGAACATCACTCGATAAACAAGTTGACGGGTCGAGAGTTTTTTTCAAGGTTTCCTCAACTTCATTCATTCTTATTAGAAGGGCTTGGAGTGGCCGTGGACCAGTTGATAAATACAGACTCCAAAGTAAGTAATATATATTTGATATCAATTAACGATAGGCTCTTATTCAATATTATTTTAGACCAATCTCTCAGAAGTTCATCCTGTTCTATATCCCGTCCTTACCCTGTTGTCTCGGTTTCATCCGTCTTTGGTGGAAGGCAATAACTCGGTGCTGACCATGAGACCCTTTGTATCCCTCGTTTTATCTTGTTCTTCTTCTCCAATCTACAGGGTAGGCACGTGTTAAATAGATTTTGAATACCAGAAGGATATAAAACTGAAACGCTCACGTAACATTTTTTCCATAGGTGCGGGAAATGACAGCAAGTTCGCTGGTCCCACTTATTACATCACATGATCTTGTGAGATCTTGCACTGAGCTGCTAAATTCTTGTGAAATAGGTAACCAGAATAAATTGCACGGGTGTTTAGTACAGGTGCAATATTTAATGCGAGGTCATCTCTCTAGTGGTGTCGCTGGATTCGATGTGACAAAAGGTTATTATTTTATCGTTTTCTTTTTGCGAATCGATTTCGTCTTTTTTAATGGGTTCTCACGTATTTTTTGCTCTACCTCTGGGAACAGATTTTATCATAAAGATCGGGCCGATATTTTTTTCAATAGTTGATCAATTATTGTACAAAAATTCATGCGACGTTACGAAATACTTGTTTCTAAATATCTTGGATGAATTCATTTTTGACATCAGATGGATTTCCTGTGAACAAGATAAAGACAAAAGAGCAGGTATCAGAATTAACTACTTATTTGATCTTTCTTTTTTTTATATGTAAATATGACTGGTGATGCTGACTATGTTTTGTTAGATTTAATTAGACTTATGGAAATAAATTTTGCGGAGATTAGGCAGACGATATTTGACTATTCAATGTCTGAACTTTTTTCTAAAGACCGTGTAAATAATCTCAGGATTGGATCATATCTCGTTCGTCAACAAATGGCAAAGGTGATAATTAGATCGCTTCGAGGGCATGACACGCTTGAATTTAGTGATAAAGTAGTGGAAATATTGAGTCATGCAGAGTATGAGGTGAGGCTCGTTGCCTTAGAAACACTCACCGAATACTTCATTGATAATGCCGTCAAGGGTGCCGAATTAAGGTTTTTTTATTTTCTACTTTTGGTGTAGAAAAACAAAACAATAGCTACTCGTAAAGGGTCATTGAATTTTCATAGACTCCGTTCTAAACGTTCTTCATATAAAAATTTTAATATTAGGAATTACCCAGTTATTCGGTCAAAACTGATTTCAATGATTTATGAAGGAGAACCTGACGCCAATTGCTTCCGCCTGGCGGTGGAATTGCTTGTTTTCGCAGACTCCGGAGGCTCACTACTTCCATCGCTGAATTTTGAGCTTCAAAGTTTCTGGAAAAAATTATTTTTTTATGTAGAACAATCGAAGAATTCATCGATTGCCGAGGCCACATTACCTTTGCTGGGTTCTTTATTATCAGAAGTATGCCTGTCTTATTCTTTTTCATGAGTCTAATTTGTAAAGGGTTAGGGTCTTTACAGATTTTTCTTTGAACTGACCTCAGATATGGGATGAAACCTCCTTGAGCCAAGAATTCAAGTCCTCATGTTTAAAGCGATGGACTGAATGCGTGGAAAGAAATACCAAGTCGGAAATCGTATGAACCCAAAATTTTCCTTGACGCATATTCCATATATAATTTTTTTTTTGTTGATTCCGGATATTTTTTTGTCTTCTATCAATAGACACTCACGTTACGTGAAGCAGCGATGATGTCTCTACAACAATTCAGTCGTCAGTTATTTAAAGAAAATAAATTTACAAACAGTAATGACGTCCAACATGCCATATTTTTATACATGGTTCTTGCACGCCTCGCCCAGGTATCTTTTATTGTTGGCGATCCATTTTGTCTTTTACCTTAGTCTACTAAAAATATTCACTTATTGCTTGTGTTTAGGATGACGATGTTGACATTCGTAAGACAACCTCCTTAATTATATCGAAGGCAAGCGGGTTGAAGGTTTGTCTCCATGTATTTTTATCGTGTAGAAAATGAAAAAAATAAAAATAAAAATAAAATTTTTGTGAAATAAGTTTCCTGTGGACTGTGATCGTGCTCGTGAACTCTGTTACGATCAAATGACCAAGCAATTTTCCAGGTCGTTATATCTATATGCAACTTTACTTCAAATACTTTCTGGAGGCGAGAAACCGGGTAACTTATTAATTTCCTGTGTACTTCTTAATAAAAGCTTTATGATTTCCCCCTTTTAATAACTGTAATTATTTACAACAATCAAGATGAGATTTTCAAAGCAGAAATGAACCCGTCGCGAGTTTTATTTGCAATCGAAAATCCAAACGTATTTAAAGAAGATTTGGTGGATGTTCAGTTAGCATTTAAAAGTTTATTGGATGCTCTGAAGAAAGAAAGCAAGGCTGTACAATTTCCGGATCCGTTAAGGAAGGATATACCGCTTTTTTCTGTTGAGCAATTACGCGGAATTTGTAAATCACTAATATCCGACAATTTAAAAGTTGAATATCTTTTTTGTTGCATTTATGTTCATTTTGTATCGGGATAATTTCATCCATCTATGCTTTTTGTTGTCCTAGGATAAAACCAATGGTCCATTTGGATTTACTTCACGTCCCAGAGTGTTCCTTATTGTCTATAGGTTAATCGCAACAGTTTTGGTAATGAATGAACTAGTGCTTGACAAGGAGAACTTCAATAATGGTATGTTTTTAATGTAAATATAATTTATTTTCTATTCTTTATTCACGATTCTTTTCCTTGGACAGAAATTCAAAAGATAACAAGGGATTTTTCACAATCGGAAATCGAGTTACACCCATTGATAAAAGACCTTATTTTCAATGGGTTGGAAAAGATCAATTCAGAAAGTAATGTAAAAAAAATCTTAAAAGTGACGCGTCAAGAAAATGAGGAGGATATAATGTTGTATCAAAATGTCTCCGAGAGATTTTTTCTTCTGACTGATAGATGCAAACTAGACTAAATTTAGAAATGGATTCTTTTTAAAAAAGTTTTTACATCAACGAAAAAAAAGTACGTAACACGGATAAAATAAATCATTAAAATTTCCAGCCTTCATTATAATGTCCGAAGTGAACAACAGAGTTCATTAAATCATTGGTTGTCGTCAAATCATGCTCAAAATTAAAGCAGATTTTTTTTTTTTAATTAAATCAATAAGATAAGCTTTCTCCAGAAAGTTTGCTAAACCGCGAACTAATCAATTATTGCATTAATCAATAAGCTTATCAAACATATGCAGTTCTGTTACGTAATACGTCGAAGTGTTATTAATCATATTTATCGTGCGTTCTGGCAAAAAAAATAAATGACTTACGAAGAACGAAGTTCAAAAGCTAGACGCAAATCGATCAGAAAGTTTATAAAATAAGACTTTGATTGCTTATTCTTTATTTATGGTTTAATATAAAGTATAATGGGAAAAAGTCAATTTTACGACCTCGAAAAGGTATAAAACAGCCTAAAAGAATTGAAAAGGAATGGTAGCAAGAAAAAAAAAGCCTTTCTCCCTCTTTTGCGTCATCCCAAGTCACTCCCAAAATCATCTACACGCGTTTTTCTCACATCACTTTTACATATAACAAAAATAATGATGTCTCGAATTCACTTCACTCTGTTTCTGGTCCTTGTTCTTACTTCACTCACTTTTTCATTCCCGTTGACCACAGATGCCAGTGATTTTCCTCTGGATGAGTTTTATAATGAAATATCTCCTGTCTTTCACGAAGATTCCTCGGTCGGTGGGACCAGTGTCACATCACCCACTCGCGAAGATACCTCAAATATGACCGCACCAGCTTCAAAAGAAGCCTTAAACGGTACTGCATCAGCCCTCGACAATATATTAAATGGCACCTTACCGATTACCAACGGGACCTTAAAAAGCACTGGGCCTGCCACCAACGGAACCTTAAAACGAACTGAGGATGCCACCAACGGGGCCTCAAATAACACGGTACCAGCTGTAAAAGAAATTTTAAATAGTACGGCACCAGCCGGCGAACCTACCATAGAGTTCATTGAATCACCGGAAACTGCGGATGACTCCGAAATCGACGAAGATGGCAGTAGACTTGTGAACAATCCATTCTTACGTTATAACATCGAACAACTCGTTTCAACCTCTAACCTCTTTGGATTCCATGAGGGCGGTCATAAGAAAGTCAAAGTCCTAGTGTTGCCAAAGGGAAAGGCGTTTCATATCATCTACAAGGTTTTGGTGTTCCCAAAGGATAAAAAGGGTATCCCTAAACTTTACAAGTTGATCGTCATTCCCGGAAAGACCAAGGATAATCAAAAAGAAGTGAAGCTTATTCTAATCCCGAAAGATAATCCAGGAGCTTGGAGAGAATATAATGTTGTCATCCCTTACAAGCATTAATTAAGGTATATTTTGAGGTTTAGGAAAAATCTTGAGAACCTACGCATATGTTTCTATTATACTGTATTTCCTTCTGTAAAATCTTGAATAAATTTGCAATAAAGTTTTATGCAATCTTGAATTCTTTGTGGTGCATCATACTCTAAGGGTGCAATTGTTACTATCACTTTCTTAGAACCAGCAGGTCGGTCTTAATAGAACCGCCAGCATGGAGAGACTGTATGTAGGTGACACATTGAAAGCATGTGTAGGATAACTTTCATTTGATTGACTGGTGGTGTTCATTGATCGGCAGGCGTAATGATACGAATGATATGTACAGGCCTTTTTGTTTATTTGACTAATGCCCATTCAATTTGTACAGCGGAATTATTCTCCGCTATAATCTAAGTTGGTAAATTTTTCAAGGTGAAACCAATACTTTTATAATGTCGAACCCTTGGATCAATAAAAGAGTGCCCATGTCAAAGGTGGGAGAGGGTTCTGGTAGTGCGTCTTGTACCAATAGTCCTGAGCAGGTTCAAAATTTAACTGACGTCAGTCAACTTATATTGGAACTTATCAACAGCGTCCTTGCTCAAAGCATAGTTTTACCACCGATTGACTGTGACTCGCAAGACTATAATGTAACCGGGGACGAGCAAGTGGATAATCTCATCAAAAATATCCAGAACGATGGAACACCGGCAGATTATTTTGCGTTGAAGTTTTTACTAGACGATCCATCAAATTCATTTTCGCCTGTAGTCTTACATAAAATTTTTGGGACACTTTGTGATTCATCAATATTCCATGATCATATAGAAGAGACAACCATTATATTAGAATTGAATCTGCGAACCTTATTGGCAGCTATTCGCATTTACACTACTACCTCAAAGACCACCATCACTCGCGAATTTCGTAAGGAGATGTTTGATAAACTAGCGAAATTTTCCGATTCTCATTTTTACAATTCAAACATTGCCACAGAAACAATGAAGAAAAGTGGTTCACATTCATCATCTAGTTTACTATCAAGTTACGAAGACAAACTTTTGAGAAATTATAACATTGACTTTTTATTAGCCGTATTTCGCGATACGATCAATGATAAAGGTAACATCAGAGATAAAAAAGAACTATCGCGGGCGAGGCAAACACCCAGATTGTCCGTAAATAATAACACTATTAAAGAGATTTCAGTAACTGGTACTGAAATTCGGCTGACCGAGCAGTTACGTAATACATTAGATCTTGACTATCCAAAGTCTTCTTGGTATCTCAAATGGAAGCAACTGGTGGAAAAAAAGGGTAATCTGTTCAAGCTATCTCTAGACAATACCAACATAGAATTCCAAGAGAAGGAGTTACTTGAAGAGCTCTGGATGCATGTATCCTCCAAATCTTTCGATTCGGATCCGCAAAAAATTGATGACGAACCGTTAGCAGACACCAAGTCCTTCTGGTTTGGAGTTCTCGACGTTGCGCAAGAGTTGGCAGCTTGGACGCAGTCAACCAAGACCTTGATTTTCATTTATTATCTGGCCTTACAATCCTTGCAACGTGGACACGGGGCCTACATTCGTTCGAAGGCAATTGAGCTTTTGATCTCGCTTCTCGCAAGACACCCAGTACTCTTTTCCGAATTTGAAGCTCATTTCATGGAATTCTTAGCCAGTCTGAGTGCCAACAAACAGGAGAAGTACAAGAAACTATTTGAAATTGTTATGCGACGATTCCAGTCGTATCGAAGGATGGCCAATGCATGCTCCTCGGGGCACCACGCGAATCTACAATCAAAAATAAATAAGCGCATCGATGCCTCTGTTCAACATTCCAACACTCACTTAAAAGATGCTACTCATTTTGACATTATAGCCGATGAACTGACGTGCCCCATCACTCAAGACCTTGGTGAAAACTTCAAAAAATTACCATGCGGACACTGCATCAGTGAAGAAGGGATCAAAGGATGGACCAAAGAGTGCAAAAGTAAAAGTAAATTGTTTTCTTGTTGTATCTGCCGTGCCGAGTTTTTATGGGAGAAAGTTGAGAGCGCACCAATCTCTTACTTGCATCGCGGTATGTATCAGTTCGTGGGATATATACCAAGAGAAGAGGTAACTTTAACACACGTTACTCCTTCCATTTCTTTGAGCACACGGAAAAATCCTCGCATCCGGATAAAAGGGCTTGGGATAATCAAGAAACGTCATTCAGCTTACAGGCAAGCAGAGGCTGCCCTAAAAAATGAAAACTTTGTAATGGCTGTCTATTGGTTAAACTTGGTTCTTGACATCTGGCCGGATAGTTATGGCATTCGCTGCAAACGAGCGTGGGTGGTACAACAATTGGGCGACCTTTACCAAGCAGTTACTGATTTGAACATTGCGTCACATTTAAAACCCTGGAAGCCAAAGGCTTGGAGCTTACTCGCTAGCGTGTCTCTACAAATGGGCATTCCAGAAATGGCACTCCCTCATATATCTCGCGCCCTTGAACTCGATCAAAAAAACCTTCAATTTTTGTCAATGCGCAGCACCATCTACGTAAAGTTACGACAGTACGACAACGCTTCACGCGATATGGATACTATCCTCGATCTTGCTTCTCAAATGACAGCTTCAACTCGAATAAGGTCATCATTTCCAGCCTTCATCTCGATGATTCGTTTCAAGAACTCAAGACCCTCTCAACCAGAAAACAAAACTATAATAGTAGATACTTTAATGAGACGTAGTAAATTATATTTTGACCAATCTAAATATCAATTGGCCAAACAAGATTTGGATAGACTCTTACAATGGGATAATAAGAATCTAGAAGGACTGGTGTTGCGTGGTCGCGTTCACTACAGAACGTATCAATATTGTGCCGCTCTCTCTGATTTTAATGGCGTCATAGCAATTGATCCTCAGAATGTATACGCATACAATCTTCGAGCACTAACAAATTCAGGGATGGGTGTATTTGATCAAGCAATCAAAGATTCAGATCACGCCATAAACCTTAATCCAGTGGAAGGATATTCGTATCGTTTCCGAAGCATGATTTTGGACGACATGGGTCAAGACGAAGATGCTCTAGATTATGCAAACGTGGCGCACATAATTGACCGCACCAATATGGAAAACATGTACCGATGCCTGTGGGCCCGTATATACCTATATCGATATAAGGATGTACTTTCATACCTTAACGTTTACCTCAACTATCTCAACGAAAATTTTGAAAATGATGACACGGACACCGCGGAGATGCTTGTAATGCGGGGATTCATTTATCACCTTTTGGAGGGTCGAGAGGAAGATGCATTTAATGATTTTCGAAGGGTACTGGAGATAGATTCAAAGAATACAAATGCATTAGCATGCCGCGGTCAACTATACACTCGTCTTGGAAAATTTACGGAGGCATTGGCTGATCTTAACGTCGCCATCGAGATTGACTCTGAAAATAGCTATATATATCGAAACAGAGCGTACTTATGGTATAAGATGGGTACCTACACGAAATCATTGCAGGACTTGGATACTGCAGAAAACCTGCATCCTGAACGTGGCATGACATCGTCGACACGGGAAGGAAGGAGAAGAAGTTTTCTTTATCGGGGCCTCATTTACCATAAACTTGGAGACCATAAAAAAGCTCTTGATAATCTTAATGGAGCGATAACAATTTTGCAAGATGACGAGACTATGATTCCACTTGTAGAGCGCGCAATCGTTTATTTTTCTACAGATCAACTTGAAGAAGCGTTAGACGATTTGAAAAAGGCATTGGTCGTTGAACCAAAAGATGTATACATGTCAAGAAGCTTGTCCAAAGGAATAGAACTTTACGGGAAGATCTACAATTCATTTAGTACTTGTGACGAAAAAAAGTTAAGTTGGATGGACCTACGTGAACCAGATCCCCGAATGCCGCAATCGACCTTACGAAAGCTTAAAGTAGTAACATCATTCCAAGATGATACCAATGAATTGGACCCTTGCGACAGTCTCAAGAAATTATCGCAAGAATTTGAAAGACTCTTGTCCTCTCGGAGTAAGATTGATTCATTTGAGCACAATGAAAAAAAGGTCAGTGAAAATGATAGCTTTGAAAGCTTAAGCAGTATTTTCGAGTCAGATGATGAATTCCCGGATGAAGATGATGGTGCAGCGAGTGCAAATCACAAAACAATATCTCGAAACAAAGGAAAAGGTGTAGATAAGCAAGAGGAGAAGGAATCCACGTCTCGAGAAGAAATTGTTGAACCTAACCCTTACGACGAACTTAGGAATTTGTTGCAAGAGTTTGAAAGTTTTTTGTATCGTCAAATTAAGTTGAACGATCTTGACGACAATGAAATTTCCAATGATAGTTTTGAAGAATTGAAGGATGCGCATAGTAAACCTCAAGATAATACCGAAGAAGTCGACGAAGATTGTGAAATAATCGCTTTAAATAAGGGGAAAGGAGTCGATCAGCTCAATGACCGAAATGAAAATATTACGAAAGAAGACCCATCCATCTCCCACGAAAAGCCTTTGCTCCGTCAAAATGAGACAAGCTATAATTTTGTAACTGACGATGATAACGCAAAGTTAAAGGAGGCAGATATGCATAAATATGAGGATAATATTTGCAGTGTTGATATAGATAACAAAATATCTGTTTTAAATGAGAACCATCAGTATGAAAAAATTGAAGAGGAAACTGTGCAAAGTGAAGAGAGTAGCTCCCACGGATTTTCACGGGCACTTGATTTTCTAGAAGCTGCCCAAAACACAGAAGGTTACTTTGATCAACAAAAGTTCGACCAAGCCATAGCTCAATGGGAGAAAGTTAGCTCCGGAGATAGTTATGCCAGTGATATCCTTCGAGCTCTTCAAACCATAAAAGCAAATCATTCCCAGATTCTTATATCTCGCGAGGGAAACTCGAACAATATCTAATGGTGATTCATTCCATAATATATAAATTATTACTATCGTACTGGTTTTATATTAATGCATCATTGTTCTTGGCACTTATTTATTAGATATTTTTCTATCTTCTACTTCTTTGGGGCTTGTACGACGGAAGTGTTTACACATTCTCTTACTTGTGTGTCACTATTTATAATATCGAGGTTTCGTGATCACTGCGATAATTTGTTTTTCTCAATTAGAAGCATTCCTCATCCTTACCTTTATCTCTGCCCCGGTTTGCCGGAAAAAAGGACAAGTGCCTTTGAAAAAGCTCGGAATGAGCTTATTATTGGTTATTATTTTTGACACAGTTCAGACACATATGATTATACAACTTCTTATTTAATTTTCTATGCTATGCGTGCTTTAAGTAAGTTTAGGTGATAGACCGTTGTGTCAGCGAATCTTTGTTATCAATCCTTGTGATTTTATGCGGTATCTTGATTAAAAAAAAAAGCGATGTTTTATATAAGGTTTTGTAAATTTTGTGTTTAGTAAAAATTTATTTAAGCATATTGTAAATAAAATAGTATTAAGGTCGCAGAATAATACTTTGTCTCTTCCCAAATCTGTATACTACTTGCTTGGAAATTTGACTTTTTCTTCCTTTCGGAACTTGATATTACAAAACAAGCACATTTTTTACCAACTCAAAAAATTGGCTCAATGTTTATTAAAAAAAATTTTTTTTTTATAGTTTATAACTTTAGAATAATTGATCAAAAAAAAAAAAAAATTACAAATATAATTATTAAATTATTATGATCATTGATAAAAAATATTTTTAAATTTATGAATTTAATAATTTGTATACCCTCTTTGCTTTAATTACAACTGCAATTCTTCATTGCATACTATCAATAAGTAAGTTCCATACATTTCTCAATAGAAATTGTGTTCTATTCTTTTTAAATTCATCCTCAAAGCTCATTTATACTATTAGGCATATTTGTGTAATCTGAATGTTTCTTTCTAAATAACTCGACATATACTCTATAAAGTTCAAATTTGGTAATTGTAAAAATCAATATAAAACACCAATTTCATTATAAATATCCTTGAGTTTATTTTTACCATATGCTCTGAATCATTGTCATTTTAAGAAATAATATTTTTAGATTTATATTATAAAATAATTTAGATATATTATAGTTATTATGCAAATTAAGTGTTCTATTTTTTTTAACTATTATAAAACATAAAATATTAACAATTCTTTTTATATTTAATAATCAACATAATGGGAATTATTTTAAAGTAGTAAATTTATTTCAGTCTAATTTTTAACTATCCCATTAAAAACAATTAATTTTTTTTATTCAAAAAAATAATTTCTGCAATTTTTAATTATTTGGTTTCTACATATTTTGCAAATTCAAGAAAGGATTTTTACTTTTTGATTATTAATTTCATATTTTTTTTTAATATAAGATTATTTTTATTATAATATTGATATTATCTATATTTTAAGATATTTTTAAATATTCTAAACTATTTACTTATATTGAATAGATTAAATCCATGGTTATATATAATAAACAAAAATAATTTAAATGATTTAAATAATTTTTAAAATCAATTGTAAATATTTAAAGAATTCTTAAAATCAATTGTAAATTATTTTAAAAATAAAAAATAAAAAATTTTTAAACAAATAATATACAGTATGAATAATAATAGTTTTACAAAGCAATCAAAAATATAAATTTTATTAAATACTATTAAATATTATTAAATTCAATATGCTTAAATAATTTTTATTAAATTTTAAAAATTAAAACAAATTTTTGATTTTATATAATAACAATAAAGATTATATCTTGTTTTATAGTAAAAATTTAAAACAAATTTTTGATTTTATATAATAACAATAAATATTATATCTTGTTTTATAGTAAAAATTTAAAACAAATTTTTGATTTTATATAATAACAATAAATATCATATCTTGTTTTATAATAAAAAATTAAAAACTTGATTTTTAATATTTTTAATATCATAAAATTATAACTTATATTATAAATAGTCTATTAATTAAAAAAAATTTTTTTATTGAATTTATACAATTTCTTATAATTTTATATAATACCAATTATTTAATTTTTAGTTTAGTATAATTATATAATTTGATAAAATTTTAAAAAAGATTATTAAAACTTTATAATATATTTATATTTATTTTTGTATTGTTTTTTTTTTTAAAGAATAATAATATGTATATATGAAAATATATAATAATATCTAAATTTTATTTAATATGATTAGATATAATATTAACTATTAAATATAAATTCGTATTTAATATCAAATACCAAAATCATATTATATTTTATTATATTGCATTTTTAAAAAAAAAATAGGAAAAGATTTTATAATATCAAAAATTTTGTTTAAAAATAAATAAATATAAATTTTAAATATTAAACATAAATTTATTTTTGCTATTTAATACACGAAATATATATATTTTTTTAAAATAATTTCTTGAATTTTATATTTATTTCAAATAATAATACAAAATATGAATAAAGCAAATTTTTAAATAAAAATTGTTAATTTCAATAAAAATAAATAATACAAAATAATTTTTTTAATTCAATATTACTTACTTATTTTAATTTAATTATTATTTCAATTTTAGACTCATTTAAAATTTAATATCATAAAAATTATATAGTTAATAAAAACTTAAAGTCATATTTTTTAAAAAAATTTTTAAATAACGAAGTAATAATATTACAATTATAATTCGTTAAAAAAAGTTTTTAATAACAATATTCATTAAACATAACATTAAAAAATCATTTTTTGAAATAAATTACGTGAATTATTGAGGTTTTATTTAAATGTATTTTAATATACAGTATAAATGTCTTTCCTTTATTAATAAAAAATGTATAATGATTGCTTGATTGCGTTGATCAAAGATCTTAAAGCATAAAATTCCATTTAAAAATTTGCAAAAATTATCATAAAATACCTTGCAAAGAACAATAACTGTGGAATAGAAATTTAATTATTGAAAGACCTTATCACTGTATTCTTCAATTTATAATATAAACTCTAATAAATATAAAAACTGTAGAAAGTTTTATCATAAATTACTCTATTTCTATTTGAAACATTTTATCTAAATTCGAGACTATCGATTATTCATTTATATTACATTTATGGTTACATAACGTGTGTTAATTTTTTTCACTTAATTTAACAATGATCCGACGGTTATTTTCCATCAGTTTTTCTTTTCTGCGTTTGGGAGGATGATGAAGAACTTCCAGCTTCAGAGGACGAATGAGCGTTTTTACTTGAAGAATTACCTCTAGTGGTGAAGGTGGGAGTATTTTTGGTGCCAGTTGATGCTGTATATTTTGACGAAGATGAAGGCCTTTTCGTTGTAGGAGAGGGGGAAACCGGTTTCCCCTTATTATTTAATTGTTTCTTGCCAACAGTTACGATCTTTGCCACCTTTTGTGCTGTAGTCGCTTTTGGTTTTGTGATCAACGGGGTTTGTTTCTTAGTTACCTATTTTGAATAAAGAAAGTAAATTGTAATAGTCCATTACAGTATAAAGCGCAAGAAAATATTTGTTATAAATAGGAATCTTACCTCTAATCTGTCGTTTATAAACACATATGTTTCATATACATGTGCTACCAGTAAGCTATCAGGGAAAAAATTATCCACCATTTCTTCCTTAACACCCGAAGACCATAAATTCAACGTCATATCCGTAAAGTAAATTGACAATGGATCCTTCTCTTTACTGGAATTTTCATTGAGAAATCTAAACATGAACCTTTTTAAGGCCGATGAAAAATATTCTGCTGGAATTTTTTTGGGTTCGTCATTAGCGATTGGCAGTAATGTATCATCGTCCTCCTCCTGATATATGGGTTGAAAATCCAATGCCATATTAATTTCGTGTTCGAGTTCTGGCGTTAAAGGTTCTTTATATTTGTCGTTTATATATTTGATCACTCCATTGGCCACTTGCTCTTCTACCAATTCATATAACGCCACCAATTGTTTCAATTTCAATCCTACATTCAATAGATTGCAAAATGACTCGTTATCTATCAAGTTCGAAAGTTTCATCCACTGGTTGACATATTCATTAACCAATATTTCACCGTCACCTATCGACGTCTTTTTGACAAAGCAAAGTAGAATTTCCAGGGATGAAAGCAATTCGGATGCATTGTCAAATGTCAGGTGTTGATATCCTGACGAGCTGATTGTCGAAGACATGGCGGTCCCGAGAATCATTTCCACCTTTTCTGTAGGAATCGTTTGTTGTGGAATCAACCCTTTAATATCACCTAGAATTCTTATGCACCCCTGGAATAGTTCCATGTGATACGCAAACGGTTCCATGTATAATTGTGAATCATTGACTGTATCGATGTGGACTTTTTCAAAGACCAAAGAGCGCGCGAGTTGAGACTCTATTTTTTGCAGGTTGAATGTTACATCCTGACCTCTACCAGCTTCCAAGTTTCTCTGACCGCATTGAAGTATTTCATCATTCCATTCAAAATTAATAATATTATTTGACTGTATTTGATTAATTCGCATAGAGTGAATGCAATATTGAGTAGTTTCCATGTTCTTTGAAGAAGCCGAATTGGCCTCTTTTCCACGAAACGAAATATCCTCCAAGAAAACAAGTGACGCGCATTTTCTTGGAGTAATAAGTGCTACTTCCTGCAAGAAATTGTTCTGAAGGCCAATTAAATACTCAAGAATTGCACAGATATAAACACCAGTATCCCTTGGTTCCACCAATCCAAATGCCACAGGGGATTCTATTGAAATCAGGGGTTTCAATGGAAGTTCATGACACTGATAATTCTGAACCAGACCGATCACCGAATTCCAAGCTTGTGCAAAATCCTCAAATGCTGACTTCAAAATGTTGTTGGCTTCGGTCGATTCATCATCATTAGATTTATCGGCAATAAATTCTTGAAATGTAAACTGTTGGGCTTGAGATCGACTTAACCGATATTCAAGTTTTGATGATAACATTCTCAAAAATCTGATTATCGACATCAGATGTCGAATATGTGGTAGTTGTTGTTCGTATTTAAAGAACACAGAGAGAAAGGGGTAATTCTCAACATTATTCGCCAAATCCCCCGAGTAAAAAGCTCGAAAGCTGTCAAAACTGAACTCGTCAATTATTCGCCATAGCTTAGGCAAGTGCTGCTCGTTATACCGCTTATCCTAGGGATGTTTAGAAAAGGTTATCAAGAATTTCGTGCAAAATATTAATCAAAATGATACTCTACCATTTCCAACAGTTGATTAATTTCACCTTCCATGATATCAACACTTTCTTGAGAACTTGTTGCAATTTCCGATATTTCCATCAAAAAGTTTCTTGCCGTGGCTGCACTATTCTTTGTGGCCGGTTTCACATATTTCATCAAAAAATATTTTTCCCATTCTTCCCGTTCCGTTTTATTATGCATCATTAAACCTCTTGGTGTGCTTTCGGCCATCGAGTTCAGAATTGAATGCAACAATAATGCCAGGTCTTCGTCGGAAAGATTGAAAATTTTTTTCAACACGAACCAGTCACTTTGAATATGTCCCATACAATACTCCAGTGCATCGGTTTCATCATTTTGCAAGAAGTTTGCGGCTACTGGAGATTTCCCCCAGGCTCCGATGATGGTATGAACGAATAAATGTAGAATTCGGTATGAAGCGGGATTTAAAGATCGCAAGCATTGATTTAACGCGGTGTTTTTTGATTCGCTTATGTATCCAGGTTGATCTTTGACAGACATTGCATGAGTAATTGGATTCGTATCAAGTTTTATTTGTCCTTTGTGAATGAAGAATAATTTTGGGGGGGTATGTCGGCGGTAAGTTAAAAAAATGGCAATTTCTGCAAGAACTCGTCACAAACCTCTTGAAATAACATGATTTTCTCCGCCAATAGTGGCCTTACATTCGGGGCATACGCCGCGCCCATTTGCCATTCCACAGTTTGCAATTACATATTTGAATCCACACGAGCAAGAATACCTTTTTTGACATTAAGAAAGAGATATCGGTTAAACATGAAACTTTACGCTTCGATCAATAAGCATTTGCATACCTCGTTACCTGACCGCTCTGAATGACGGCATTAATGACCACAGATTCGACGTCCGAAGGGCATGTTGGAATGAAGAATTTCGAGCACTTATCCAAGTTCTGCAGCATATATGCTAGCGGAGATGAATTAGCTGGTATCGACGCGTGTAAAGCTATAAGGTGACAAATCACGGATTTTAAAAGCAATTCTGAGCTTGTCGTCGTTGGATCGACGTGAAGTAACTCATGCTCATTGTTTATGAGCTTCGTGATGTATTGCTTATAAATGGGCGACAATGTACTCTGATCGATTTTTTGAAGTAAAAATACAGCGGATCGATTTTCGGCTTCTTCCCAATCGCGAGAAGACCTGATTATATGAAGTCGATTGAACACCAATCCCATCAAGGATATCGATGTAAGAGAGGCGAGAGTCATTTCCTTCTTCTTCAAAGATGCAAAGAAAGAATTAAAGGACCCCTTATTTTCCATCCCATAGAGAGTTGTGAAGCTTTTTTCAATTTCGACATAGTCTTCAAGTTTCCAATATGGATTAAAAGATAATCGGGATTCACAAATTTTGTTCCAAGGTAAATCCCAAAGCCATGGTAAGATCTGCCGCTGCATTTCACAAAAACGCCTGACCTCATTCATGGATAATCCTCGATACCGTAATGCCCTTAAGAAATAGATCTTAAATGAATGGATAAGTGGGAGTGTCGAACTCATACTATTGTTGACTTCGGCAATCAATTCCACGGTGTCAAGATCTCCAGTTCTCGCTTGATCAAATTCTATTGGCTGCAACACTGGTTCCCGAATAGAATGATCCCAGAACTTGTGTGCAAATTCTTTGAGGCAAGCGATTGCGGATATTTTTCGCAATATCACAGATTCTGTGTTATCTAAGGCCTCCACGGAATACCGATAAAGATCCGCCAACTCTCTTAGAGAGTACTTTGAGAAGAGAGATTTTTGAAGAACGTCGCAACATAATGTCGATGTCGAAGAATCGAAAACTTGATTACTCAAACATTCGTTGATCATCCTGAGTCTTGAAGATTGAAGCAAAGCCTTTTTTGGAGTATTAATAATTTTCACGAATGTACCTGGATTTGTCTCTTCCTCTTGCTTAAAAATTAAGTAAACAACGGATGTGTCTGCAATAGGTAACAGATTCTGCGAAAAAATATTTTTATAAAGTTCTAGTCTCTCTGGTGATTCCAGGGCAATAAAGTTCAGGCACTTTGTCGTGAATAATAATTTTGGGACCAAGTATTCACTGCAATTTTGAAATTTTTCAAATATTCCAAACACGGAATTAATAAATTTTGACGAGAATGCGTTTGATTTCTTAGGCGATGAGTTTCCGATCTTCATGATCTCCTTGATATTTGATAATGTCGTGGAATCTGCTAACGTAAAGCTACTGCAGACTTGCATCAAGTGCAATGACGAAAAGTTGGAAACTTCTGATAACTTATCACATAAAGTTGAGATCAAAGAAATTTCATGTTGCCAATTGAGAAGTTGTGGAATGTGGGTTTGGTTCACGGATTTGATATCATTTAGTTTTTTGTGCATCAGCTTGGTGACTTCTTCAACAAGGTGATCCTCGAAGGAGATATTTAAAAGGTTTGCATTTTTCAATGAAGCATCATTCACGACGGGTGGACACATCTGTGCCAGCTGAAATTGCGTCATAATCGATTTTGAATATCTCCACCAGTGTGCGTGAAGCAGAACAGGATTTCGGACTTTCTCTGAACCGAGTCTCCAGCGAAATATGAAAGACATGAGCGGTGCATACTTTGCTTTTGATTCATCCGCGCAGATCCTGGATACAAAATCATTGAAATATAATTCGGGAAAATATTCCAGAGACGTCTTGATGTTTTTTATTGATGAAGTAATGGTGTTACTCAAGATCACGGTATGATTGGTCACCACCGATTCATAAAGGTCTCCGGTGCTCGGATCGATATTATTGAGATCTTCTTTGAGTAACTCCAATTCTTCCTCATGTGTCTTTTTGAAACCCTCAATTCGTTTCATAAAATACCACGAAAATGGAAACTGGAAATCATAAATGACAGCAGGCATCACGTAACCATCAGGCTTGGGATCAGATAATTCATCAATGTTTATGATGGTTTTATCGTTGAACATCTCCCTCCAAATTTCCATCAGTTCTTGCTGATGTGGCGCTGCCTGGTCGAGGGATAGGAAGGTTTTCGTTGCAAACAACCTTTCAAGAGCACAAAGAACTCTAGCAACGGGTTGACGAACTATGGAACGTATATAAGCTTGCAAGGCGGCCGAAAATGAAGAATATGGATATAAGAGCTTTTTATTTGACGCCACGTAATATTGCCAATCTCTTGATGAGTAGTATATTTGGAGCCAATCTTGTGTTTTTATCTTTAGGTAATCGACGAGATTTTTGTTTTGGGGGATTTTTGCGTTGAGAGTTCTGGGGAAATTTTAAGATTAATTAAAAATAGAATCACAACACATAAATAAAATTTATAACACTTACTTTATGTGATCAATAGATTTAACGCTTGCTGGATACTTCATGCATAACAAACACCATAGCAATTCCTGTTGCAAAATCTCTTCAAATGAGTATGTTTTGCTGATGATGTCACAAAGGTCCCCATCCAGTAGAGCTGACAAGCATTTCTCTTGAGGCGTCAGAGTCTCAATTGTCACTTGCCTCCACCCACACATAAAATTAAAAGCGTTCAGTGATGCCTTGTGATCTCGGTGAATATGCAGAATTATGCACGCATGTTTTCTGGCAGCATTCGATTTTTTCAGTAAATATTCATTTCGTGATTGCTCAATGATGAACTTTGCCAACTTAATGCATCCAGCATTTATGGTTGTTATATCACACTGGAGGATCAACATTTCATTTGATGACTCGAACCAAAAATTCTTGACTTGGTTCTGAAATTGAGCCTCGGTCTTGAACGTGGAGAGCTTTAATATCTGACAAGTGATTAGGCCTTGTAAGCATAGCTTAACGTCTGTGTTTATATTTGAGAAGGTATTGATGATCACTTGATGGCCGTCTGGACACGACTCGGAATTCTCATTGTGCAACAGGTTTTCGAAATAACCTGCCAGATGGTCATGGTGTTGCGCTTTAAAGTAAACATTTTTCCAATGCCTAACTTCATCCAAACTTAAAGCTGATCGTTCTGCTCTCACAATTCCGTCGGAAGACGCGATGTTAACTAGAGATTCCTTGCACTTTGTTAAAATTTCAGAATCTTGAGCGTCCGGGTTTTTCTTCTTGATATCAATAACCAAACTTTGCAGTGTTTCTTCCTGGTCAAAACCAATGAATAGATCTTTTTGCGTGAATTTATCATGAGAGACGGAAACCGGATTCAGCATCTCAATGGTTGAAATTCGCTTGGTCCATATGGACAACTGATAAACCAGATCCTTTTCATTGTCCGTCAGGATGTCATTAATGGTCATCTTTTGTTTCTCAAACCGATTCAAGAGGGGTGGATCAGCTTTTGATAAATTCTTTTCGTCAAGAACAAGAATGCATCTAAAGTTTTTGTTGACATACCTAAACGAGAAAGTAAAAGAGACATCTGTTGATAAAAAATGACCATATGATGTGCTACTTGATAAATATAGGTCGATAGAATACTTACAACATGGGGTTGGCATAAGCACCAAGGGCAACTCGCGTGTAATATTTTGGATCCTCGGAATTTCCAACCACGATATAATTTTGATTCCACAAGTCATATAAACTCCCTAGTCATTAAACAAGTATTAGAGCGTGAAGATAAATTAGCGAGAAAATAATGGCCAGTTTACCATAAATAATTTCTAAATCGGTTAAGATCAATGGTCTTCCAGCTTCCACGCACATCTAAAATGAACAATTATCATCACCGTTTTCATTATTCCTAAGCGGATGAACACAAGAAATCCAATAATTACCATAATACGGCTCAGAACATTGTATGAATAATCATCCTGGTCATCCGAAAATTGAGATCCCAGAATTATAACAGGATTCAAATTCCTTTGTCTCAATTCATATGTCAACAAATTTACTATCGAATCGCTTTTTCCAATGACCATCAAATGTCTCGCCCCTTCATCTTCCAAATTTGTGTGAATCAGTTTGTCGATCGGTATGGGACGATAGACCCATACCTGATTATTGTCGAACGTGTTGATGACGTTACCGAAATATCTTTGACATATGTCGGCGAATTGATCGGTTCCACCAAAATTTCTTGCCAAACACATTTGAATATGCGCCGATGTTAATTCATTGGTGGAGAGGGATTTCACTAAAGCGTAGTAATCTCGCAGACCGTGAAAATTGAGATGTGTTTGACCTTTTTGTTCATATTCCGAATAGGCAATCGCCAATGGGAACAATGTATCCCTTTGTATTCGGCGATCTTGTGTTTTATTGCCAAGCAAGCGAACTGCGGTGTCCACCAAATCGTCTGAATCAAACTTTGGCCTATTTGATGTCAGGAATTTGATGGGGAATTTATGATAAAGCGATATATGTTTATCTCAAATTTTTCACCAAGAGGAAGATAATCGTCATGGATTAAAAAAGCTAACCTTTGAACAAGCAATGCCCTACTACTCTTACTGTTGTCCAATCTCCAATTGCTAATTCCTATAACAGACACTTTTGGTCCATCAGAAGGGTAGCTTGGTTCGAGCAGAGAGTGAAGAACCTTCAACGGATTGAACGGAGAAGTCTCAGCAAGGCCGACTGCATAAAGAAAAATAAAGAAAGAAAGGAAAACAATATTATGTGAACCACCAAATTGATCGAGGACACGGATTGTTATCATCGCGCAACCTACCTTCATCTAACAATACCACACTGATAACTGGAAACTCTTTGGAACTTGTTTCTTGAAAATTTTGGGCTTTTTGAAAAACCTTGAGAATACCATCAGAGGTTGAAGAGGAGGAGCCCTGATGAGGAATGATATATACCTTTACGAGAGAAGATAATTTATAAATGTTGGACCTTGAAGTGACTCCGCCAATCTATATGAACGTATTACAAACCTGTGGTAATTTTCTAAAGTACTCGTCGTTCGAGTCCGAACCTCTCAGATTTTGACTTACTAATCTAACAGCTAATGATTTTGAGGACCTAGAAATCACGAATTTTGGTCAAAAATCGTGGAAAATACGTTTTAACAGACAATAATGGCACAAAGAAATAAACGCTAACCCGGGTGCACCGACGATAAATACCGGGATTCTAGTTAATATGCAAACCACCATAACCAACACATTCTCAAGGAGAGCATCATTTTGAGCAGTGTTCGGTGGACAAACCATTCGATTGACATAATCCTCCTGCTCTTCTCTGATAATATTGTTAAATATCTCTTCCGTCAAATTGAATTTTGCATTTTTGAAAATTTCGCACATTTTTTCGCGATATTTCCGACGCAATGGCTTTTCGTACAGTCTCGATTGATAACAAAGACCCAATGCCAATACGAATGAACGAATTTGAATGCTGGGCGAATCTATTGAAGTGGGAGGATACTTTTGCGAGCTCCCACGAATCGGCGGGCGATCCTGTAAACTCTCGTAAAAGAACTTTATAAGTTTAATGGCACGTTTGATGTCACGTAAGCTGACACTGTAAGGTTCTTCCACTTGTCGAATGAACTGTTGGGAGGCGAATAACAATTTTGAGAGGACTGGATCATCCAATTCTTTTAATTGCACCTTTACCATTATTTGAATATATCGCATTTCGTCATCCCTTTGAAGCACGCCGTAGTCCCAAACATAATCCAGAATTTGATCGGGGAGTGGTCTTACTTCGTACACGAGGTTACTCTGTTCCTCGAACTTTCTCGCCTCGAGACCTGCCTCACTTATACTCCTCGTCCGTAAACGGTAGGGGTTACAGGCGGCAAATATTCGGATGTTATTACGGATCGGTCTTCCACGATACACCCGATGGGCTATTAGATCGGCCAGAAGGCCAATATTATTACACGTGTTAATTTCATCAAAGAACACCCAGGTTTCCCCTCGTCTAGCATTCTGTTGAACCTCGGCCATAAATTGTGAAATGTCATCTTCTTTGATGCCCGCGTGAAGGTTGAGGGCAAATAACTGGACTTCGACCGTCCGAGCCAAGAATCCTATCAGACTTGTCTAGGGAAAAAAAAAAAAAATACACGCTAAGCAATGAGTAATGCCGTAATTGTGCAGAGGTAAGAATAAAATGGTTGTGGCTTGCATGTAATAATGATTACCTTTCCGCACCCTGCCTCACCGCAAATCACGACTGGAATGTTCGAACGTGCCCTTAACAAAATCAAAGCCATCTTTAACAAGTTATCCACTGACAGCGCGTACGGGGGATAATCAATTTCATGAAAAGTTTTCCGAGCGATGCCTTCCAATCTCTGTAGCAACTCTTTCATGCTCATCTTGTGATAATCTTCCAATTTCCATTCTTGACCTACTTCACTTATGTATTGGCTTTTCATCAACTCCTTCACCACCTCTGGCACCTTTTCTTGAACCCTATATAGCGCGCAGATAGAATCGGGTGTTTGGGATAGGAAAAATACTAGTAGATGGTTCGAATCATCCCAATTCACGATTGTTCCCAGCGCGGCATTCCCGATTGCATCGGTTGAAGTGGCCTCTAATTGTGCGGATTTTGTTCGAATCGACCGAGTTGCAAAATCCTTGGAAATTTCTAACAAAGTGTTTACCAAAGTCGATCGAATGTTTGTTCCCTCTCCAAGCATCAGCTTCAGATTATCCACCCGAAAATATGAGCTCGAGGATAGCCTTACTAACTGATACGCGAACACGTTCACAAATATTTCCAAAAACCTAAACGAGGAAATATCTTCGAAGTCATTGTTGCCTTCCAAAAAGTATTTTTCCAAGTACGCCTGGCATTCTTCATGGGGCAATACTGAAGTGACTGCACCCTGACCTTTAAATAGGATATCTTCGTTATCGATGGTACCTGATTCAAGAGAACGCAGGTATAAACACGCAACTTGGATTGGGCTGTTGATCTCTTGAGTGACCAATAAATCCTTGATGTTCCATGTCAGATGAGTTCTTTGTAAATATTCGATCATCGGGAGTGATCTGAGAAGGTGTTGTTCAAAACTGGAAGCGATCTCTATGTAAACGTGAGTGTTTGGAAAGCAGGCAATGTCAGCGTTGCTTGATACCACCCGTAAAGTCAACACTTGGAACAACCACATATTGACCTCCCCTGGGTAATCGGAGGATACGATGTTGATGTGCATGCAATCAAAAGGTCGAAGGACCACCTCCTTAAGTTGTCTGACCAACTTGACATAATCTGCGTCGTCGCTGATGAGGAAATGCTTTGGGCAAAGTTTATTTTCAAAACTCTCTCGTTTAATCCATTCCGTTTTCCCCTGTCCCGATAATTCCGAGGAGACGCAGAAAACTCGGGGACACAACTCTTGATATATCCTTTTCATCGACGCAGTATTCAGGCCCTTTGTTGATCGATAATCGGAGAATTGATCCAAAATGTGGTGATGCATTCCCGCCTCGGGACAGCATATTAAGGCCAGATAATAATCTTTTTCTTTCTCTCGCATGGCTCTAATTTTGTTCACCAAATTATATTGCAGTTCGTAGTCAAGTAATTCCAAGTTGGCTAAGCAAAACAGGTGATTATCGTATCCATTCTTTGGCGCAAAGAAACATCTTTTAAGAAATATTGAAAGTTCCTCTAGAGTAGTTGAAGTCGTGCAAATCAACAGTTGCCATGCTTCGGGATAAGACCCGTGGTTGGCATACAACGACATTATAACATTTGGTAAACGTGACTTGTCGTTGCACGAAGCAACAAATAATTTTCCGCGTTCCACTACATCGGAAATTACGCGATCAACGGGAACTTTTAGTGGACGTTTCCTTTTTGAAACTTTGGCAAAAATTGCGTGCAATTTTTCACCAATTTCATTGAATGTCTGTAGGTAGACATCTTTTCTCTCGACCACCTTGCTGTTGGTGGGCTTTTGCGGTAACTTTGCGTTCGGATTCACAAATTTTATAAGTGTCTGGCATATATTTGCATTTCTAGTCGATTTTCCGATGAAAAAATCGTAGAATTCCAATATGTGACGAGCCGGAAAGAATGTCAAGTAAAAGTGACTTTGTTGAGCTTTATTCACCAGTGCTTCCCTTTAAATTTTGACGTGAAAATGTTAAATTCGAGCCACTTCTTCATTAAAAAAAAGAGAACAACAATATGAACTTGCCATTTTTTCAATTCATCCTGTAGCTTTTCAAGCAATTGAGTCATCCTATTAGTTCCCTTTACCGATACCTGATATCGTCGATATCCGAAATTCCCTGTTTCGATCAACCTCTCTGACACGTTAACGATCATTTGCGCAATATCAACGTGTCGAACAAATTCATCGGTCAAATCTTTTGATTTTTTTGACCCAACATTAACATTACCGCTTATCAACAAGGCTCTTCCTTTCAGGTCTTGTAGATCACCGATGTCGTACGAGACGGTGGTTGCTTTACCGATTGTGTAAGAGAGCGCCACCTTACACTTAAGGTCACTTGGGGTCCATTCAAATCTGTAAGTTCCAATCTTTACGGCATTTTGTATCTTTTCCTTGGTAACCTCACCTAAAATTATCAAAAACTTTAGCGCGTCGACCACAAGTCGTCCTAAAACATCGATCTCAAAATCACATACCGCGATTGCTGATATTTGCATACATATTTTGTAATGCTGTGTTATTGCTATTGCATAAAGCAATCTTGTTTGCCAACATAGGATTATGATTCGCGACCTTACGCAACTCTTCCAAGAATGTGTCCAGATTCAGTTTAGGTGAGACGTTCAACAAAGGAACCAGAAATTGTTTAACTTGAATAAGCGATGAAACGGTGTCCTCTTGAATCAACTTCTCATCGTCAACGCCGTTTATCAAATTTTTAAGGTCGTGGTCGGCAATTTCGCGTAAGAAGGCAATAAAATCCACGGCCATGGAGAGCTCTTTAATTAAATTCCAGCTATCTTCGTTAACCTCGCCAAGAGAATCGCCAAGGGAGTCAAGAATCAGACTTAATTCTCTCAGGGTTATCTCCGGCGCAAGTAAACCCACAAGGGCCACTTCAAGCCAATCTCCTTGAACTCGAGGAGTGTTGAACATCTCGATCACAACAGATAATTGTTTCAACCTTTGCGTCAGTCGATCAGCCCTCGAGAGCCGCGCGAGCATCGTTAAAAACCTTTGATCGCGATCAATCTGCACGAACTCATCCGTGAAATCCAATTCGGCATTGATATCGGTTACATTGCTCCAAAACATGGCGGCACTGGAAAGTTTCATATTTTCCCAGTCTTCATGTTCCTTACATCTATTCTCGTAATCATCAAGGATCGAGGGCAACGTAATTCGCGCGAAGCTCTCCACGTTTGATTCATTCACAGATGTTTGAACTACGTTTTCAAAAACATTGTAGAAGGTCTGCGATTTATTGTACTTGTATAAGCGCGTTGATATTTCTATCGAATCCTCATGGTAGAAGAAGTAATTCGGAGATTGTATATCATTGAGTGTAATATGATCCCACAAAAATTTTTGCTCATTTAAATCCTGGATATAATCCTGAATATTTAGCACCCTATTTTGCGGGCAATATCTCACGTAGAATGAATTGAGGTGATCCATCGTTTGCATGTAACCTCGGCACTTTTCTCTAATCGACAGCAGGATATCCTCGTTGACAACCATTGCTGAATGACCATTAATGGAATCAAAGTAATACAACAGAAACTCGTCGTCGTACTTTAAGAGTTCCTGCAAAAGGCGAATGTTAATTGATCCTTTCACAAGCATATATCTAACCTGGGCGATGGCATTTTTAACTTGCATGAAATAATTGTGTTTTTTTAGGTTTTCGGCGCAACCTGTTGCGCGTAATATTGCATTCCAGAACTTGGCACCAGCAAGAATACTTAGGTGAAATTCTGTGGGAATGACCATAGAATCGAGCGCACTAAGATCGAGTGCATTTTTAACCCAGAGAGAATCGATGTTATTTTCCAAGCATGTCATCACATGACAAACCAACCCCTCGCATAGACTAAATTGATGAAACGATTAACAATTGCAACAAAAGAGTCTGACGGATTAAAGGAAAAAGAATGCGGAAATTTCTTACACATTAGGAATTACCAGGATCTCCCCGATGCTTCGACAGATCTGCTCAACGCTGGTCAAAAGACGTTCATCCACAACTTGAGAAGAATCTCCCAAGAGATTTTCAACGTGACCGATAAACCCATTTACAACCGCGTCTTCAAGTTTAATCACATCTACCGTTGCATTATACACCGAACTAGAGAGACATTTCTTCACCTCACAGATGGAATGCGTCATGATACTTTTCCATAATTTCCTGTTGTCCTTGATAATGGGATATAATCGCGCGGCATAAGTGAAAATCCAAATCACGAATTTATCATCAATCTCAATGGAGGATGTGGAGGCACTATGCAATCGATTCAAGAGGCGCTGATACCAATTTTTACAAATTTGGGGGTATCTCTCGCGAACCTCCGAAACTTCGCCAAAATTTTCCAAGCAATTTTTCAGGTGTTGAATAAAGTAGGCCAACATATCAATGTCCATGAACAGGGAAAGCGAAGTCAAAGAAGAAAGATAATCTTCGTAACTCCAATATAATTCCGAACTCTCTAATAGTTTGAACATCGAATTAAAATGATCTGTCGGCCAAGACTCCGTGATGCGTCCGTTGTGCAACAGCAAAAGTATTTTGATACGAAAAGCGTCGGTCACCGACATCGCAAGGCCTCTGGGGAGATCGAAAAATAATTCATCCACATAAACAATGTCGCAATCCGTTGATAGATAAGTTTGAAACCACATGGACAATGTTTGCTGGAGTTTCTCATCTATCTCATCCATCTCATACATCCCATCTATCTCATCTTCGTGGCCGATGAATTCTTCCCAAACCAAAACCAACGATTTTACGCTTGGAGACAATTTGATCAACCACTATGTTACAAAAAAAAAATAAAAATAAAAATTTTAGAATGAAATTTAAGCGATGACAAGTTTGAAGCCATATTGACAATACCCTGAGAATCTCGATGTACTTGTAATCAACTCTTTCGATGTAGGGGAAAGCTTTCTCCTTGAATACATCGAGGAATGTGTTGAATTTTTTTTCGGTGTCGTATTTCAATCTATTGAGAGACTCGATAAATCTGAACTCCGGATCGACATACTGATTCACCGAAAATATGTTAAGCCACTCGAATGATCCGTTAACCGCATTGCGATGCACCAGAAGACCAACCGCTCTTGTAACGGCAAGACGTGTGTATGCATCCGAAGGATAAGTGTATTCGCGAACGTGCTTGATCGTATTGAGTAATGTTAACACCATCGATTCCGGAAACTCATGCTGATCATAAGAAAAGTAATCATGATAGCCTAGGAGAATAAGTAGGAAAAATTTCTGCTCTTTTACTTTCGCCTCGAGCAGGCGTTCCCTTATGAACTTGTGTAAGGATAAAATTTCCAGGTGTGACTGATGATATTCCAGAATTGATTGAAGTTCAATTATTTTCTCTTTGAGATTACTGGAATTCAGCGAATCGTATATAATGTTCAAGAAGGCAAAGTCCTTGATTTCGGCAGCAAGTAATTCGTTATTTTCCCAGATGTCATATTGATTGCCACACTGTAGCAGAAGTGTTCTCTCGTATTGTGTTTCAAAACCTTCGAAAATGACCTTTTCACTTTTTCGCGAAGCGGTTTGTTGCGAAACGACGATTCCATATTTGTACCTCACCTCCGAAGCATTCTCGAGATTGGCGAGAGAGATTTTAACTGGTTCGGAAAACCAATAAGTGTTACGAACACCGTGCGGAGTTTTGCGATTGGACTTGCGAAGTCTGACAATGGGAGAATTCCAGTTTCCCAGTTCCTTGACATTACCAAATACAAACGGGGATCCTAATCCGTCGCAATCTACGTGAACGTGAAATATCACACTGATAAAATCCTCATCATTCTTTCGAGTATTTCCGTGTCTCGTCGACATCGCTGAAGCCCGAGTGGCACTGGATTCACCTTTATTTTCGTAGTTATCATTTGACGATGCATATAGTGTTGATGTTGCCTCTGATTTATCAAATTGAAGCTTTGACTTTTCTATTTTCGACAACAAAGCCTTATTCGAATCCACAATTTTCTTGTGCTCCTGAGAACGCGCGACCTGGCTATAGGTCAACGAACTTGAACTACTTTCCGAGTTCGCGTACTCGATCGACGGTTGTTCATTCCTCTCAACACCCCCTTTACTGCTATTGGAATACTGTGTCCTCGAATTTTTCTTGAACTCGGCAAATACGGGGACATCAATCGTGTCCGTGCTTGCTAGCAAATTCTTGATATCATTATCCCTTGCCAAGTCTGATGATTGATCGCCGTCGGATGGATTTGATGATTGTTTGGGTGCATTATTGTTAGAACGCACATTTTGCGATTCAATTTCCGAACCCCGCGACTCGCCTAATTCGTTATCCGTGCAAATAGCTCTATCGTCTTTTCCTTCCATAATAAATTAAATATTTATTTTTCTCAAGATATAATAGTTTTCTTTCTTTTTTTTTTTTTCTCTCTTTTAAAAAAAAATAAAATAAAATAAAAAGGACAGCTTAGTTTCGCGAGTTTATCTAATATCCCTGTTTCGGCGAAAGAATTCCGAAAAAAATCCATGTACCTATAGGTGACATAATATGACAGACAAACAATGGATTTTTTTAAACGGCATATATTTTATGAGAGGACACAGGGTATCTCCAATACAATGAGAACATCTTAAATACATTATTTGCCATATTTGCTATTACGTATGTACAGTATATTCTACCTTTGTCGAATTTTCTCTTTCGTAAACTTCTCAGTGGTATCTAGTACCAAAGACACATTTGGTTTCACCACATGCACGCAGTTTGGTATCACACACCTTAAACAATGAACTTATGCATGGTCTCCGTCGATGCATGTACACTCAATTAAAATGATGGAAACTGCGTAGTTCCCACTGTAAATACATCCCCATCTATATATCATGTTCGATAAGCACACATACAACTGAGGCATTTCGATCGGCTTCCGGAATGGGAAAAAACTTTCACTTATGTTGCGTTACGTGCATCATACCTCACACTCCAGATTACCGCACTGCGGGACGAAAATCAAATCAAATCTCTTTTTATTAAGGAGACCGCGTAAACAAACTTTGAGACGACACAGAAATTATCAGGAAGTACACACATACATTAACACATACGTGCGTACATATCCGTGTCTCCTTCTAATTCGCATTTTTCTTATTAAAGAAAATTCTAGTTTCGCAATTGTTTTAAGTATCGTATATAAAGTAATGATGTAGCTGATTTTCGGGTTTTCTGACCCCTTTTTTCTTTTACACATGCATAAATATACAGTGTGCGAGTACCATTTATACTGTATGTGCATTACGTATCACATATTTAAAGTGTTTGTGACCGGTCCGAAGTCTCCTCACCGATCTTTGTTTGGTAATGTCATGATAGGAAATTATTGGTAAGACATTTGATTGGCCTGCGTTCTTCACTCCGTAAAAACTATAAATATAGCGCACACCACGAAAAAAATTCATCCCTTTTTTCTGAAAACGTAATTGTCCAGTTTAATAATTGACTTCATCTTCGACAATCCGACTTCGCGTCAATGAAGAAAACCTTTCCAAAGAATCAAACTTCCAGAAAAGTATCCCCGGCTATCGAAAATAGCACGAATCCTCCAACCTCTCACTCGCCTACTCCCGACTCCTCAAAGGTTAATGGTAATAGCAACGGCACCGCCACTTCTGCAAATGTCAAAGTTACTATACGGGTTAGGCCTCCTAATGCCGTTGAGCTTAGCAGAGGAGAGAATGAAATATGGGAAGTCAATAATAATTCGCGAAAGGTCGGCCTCAATTTGGATTTCATAGAGAAGTCCAGAAAACAAACGGCAGAATATCATTTCGGTAAGTCCTATCGTGAAACATGAGATTGATTCTCTTAATATTTTTCGAAAGATACTAACAATTCTTTATATAATTAAATAGACGAAGTGTTCTCAGGCAGTGATAACAAAGCTTTGTTCGAGAACGGGGTACGAGACACAGTTAGGTGGGTGCTAATGTAATCTATGAATTGATAGAGAAATTCGCTTTCTTTAGCTGATATGCAATTACAACTTGTATTCTTTAGTGCTGTCATGGAGGGTTATAATGGTATGATAATGTTAGATTAGATTGAGGGTAAAGTTCAATTTGACACTGTCGGTCGATTGACTAACAATTATTTCATATTAAAGGAACTGTGTTTGCTTACGGTCAAACTTCTTCGGGGAAAACCTTTGTAAATCTCCAATTCTCACTTATGCAGTCAGAACCTTTGATCGCATCATAAAATATCATTGCTAATTAATTTTCTTTTCGACTATCACCACAGACTATGGTAGGGATGTTAGTGGTTCTTTTCTTCCTCTAAGATTATCTTTGCTAATGTTCATCCCGTGGTATTTAATAATTTTACAGTCAGGTTGGTATAGTATGTTCTTCATAATTCATAACCTTTCTCGTAAACCTTTTTAACCGATGGATCGATGCTCTTATTACACAGGTACAAAGTCTAATCCGGGTGTCATTCCGCAAGCCGTTGGTACCGTATTCGAATACATAAAAAAGGTAGAGGAGGGAGGATATTGCTACTTATATATTATAAACAAAATTTTCAACGGTATTTCTTTATATTTTATTTATACAGTGTCAGGAGAAGCAATTCTTGCTCCGAGTTTCTTATATGGAAATTTACAACGAAACCGTGCGAGATCTGTTAAGTCCCGACACGGTTGATCTGAGGATCCACGAAGATAAAAACGTATGGCATAATTCTTATTGATAAATCTCGTCCGTGGTAAAATAAATTCCATGAAATGAAACCTCATTCACTTAATTCGATTTAACCTACCAGCGAGGGGTGTATGTGAGTCCACTCAAAGAAGTCCTCGTGTCAACTCCAAGTCAGGTTATAGAAGAAATTTCTAAAGGCGAAGGTTTGTGTTTTCTTTATAACGTCATTCATCCCAACTGCATCATCGCCGTGATTTACCGATCTCTCCGATTTCTCCAATTTTCTAATACAGCAAATCGTCATATGGGCGCAACGGATTGGAACGAACGGAGTAGTCGATCGCACACCATATTTCAAATGGCATGTTTATTCATTTTCTATCAAAGTCATTTTCACCAGTGGTTCACTAAACGTTATGATTATTAATGAACATGTGTAGACGGTGGAGAGTGCTGCCAAAGGTTCATTGCCATCTAGACCAAATCGTTACTCCACGCCAGGTATGGCAAAGTTATCAGGCTCAGTGTATTCTTCAGTGCTGGTAGGTTATTTCGATTTGTTTCCGTTCAGATTTATGAGAAAATCTCAAATTTTGTTCTAAATACACAGAACTTGATAGATCTGGCTGGCTCAGAAAAGGCTACAACTTCAGTTGACCGTCGTAAGGAAGGATCTTACATCAATAAAAGGTTGGTCAGCAGTCAACAAAATATCTATTAATGATTCCATATTATCTATTAACTCTTCTTTCTTAATTTACAGTTTACTCACTCTTGCCACTGTTATCTCAAAGTTGACGGAGAAGAATGCGTAATTATCGTTTATTTCGATTTTTTTTTTTTTTTTTTTTTTTTTTTTTTTTTTTTTATGTAAATTATGTATACAACATCATTATTATTTATTTCAGTGGTCACATTCCATTCCGTGATTCAAAGTTGACGCGAATCCTTCAGAATTCACTCAGTGGGAATGCTAGGGTTGCTGTCATTTGTACTATATCGCCATCAATAATAAACCTCGAAGAATCGCATAATACTCTCAAGTTCGCTTCTCGAGTCAAGAAAGTCGTGACAAAAGCACACACGAATGAGGTTTGTGTTTGGTTGTTAGAGGAAAAAATCGACTTATTATTAATTTTACAGCGGCTTAAATATTCTATTCTTTTCTGGAACGCTAGGTGTTGGACGACAAAGCTTTGATTCAAAAGTATCGCATAGAGATTGAGGAGCTTAAAGCAAAACTTGAGAGAACCAATGTTTCCGACTATCAAGAAAAGGAACAAGAATTATCGAAAAGGTTACAAATTGTAAAGGCCAAGGTATTATGGATTTTACATAAGGTCATTATTTTTTTCAGAATTATTAGATCTAATCGATTCTTTGATGTAGCACGAAGAAGAGATGTTGGAGGCACAATTGATTCGAACAGCATTGAAGGAAAGGATTGATCACCTTACCAAACTGATCTTGACTAACACGTCCTTTAATGGTGGTGGCGGCGCACCATCTCCAATTCCGTCACGAAAGCAGTCAGACATGAACGCAGTCGAAATGGTAAATCCTGTTTCATGGTATATTTCTAGTTTGACTACTTATTTACTATTGCTAAATTGCATGAAAACATAGGACGACGAATTTTTCGAGTATAATATTAAACTCGAAGAAAAGGACATGAAGATTGGTCAGCTTACGTCCGAGCTAAAAAAGAAGGATGAACTTATTGCGCAGTTAACAGCACAACTGAATAACATTTTATTTAATAATGCAAAACAAAATGAGAATGAATTAATATCCAAACTTCAAGAACAAAACGAAGAGCTACAGGTCTTACGTGATGCAAACAAGAGACTGACGAATGTTGTAGAACAGCAACAAAAGAAACTTCAAGTGCTGGAAAACAGTCAGTGAGTGCCCGTTTCTCTCATTAATGAAATAAACAGTAATAACATGTAATCATACGTTTGGCGGAGTTTCTTTTCTTAACGCGGGACAACTTCATCGGCCTATATTATATAGACAATTAGATTATTTATTTTAATAGCATTAGACTTTTTCTGCACCTATAAGCAAATCACTTTTCTTTTATATGATAGATTTCATTATTAATATTAATCCACAATTACAATATGGTTTAATAATCAAAGACATCAATTTTCTGCGTATTACCCTTTACTCAAATAAAAATATCCCGTATATTGTTCACTAGCCCATAAAATTTTTGATAAAAAATGAGATTTTGGACAAATTTGTATTGATTATTTTTTCATTCTATGCATAGTTTTTACAAAACTTCAACCAATTATTCGTCTGATTTTTTTATAATTTTTGAATTTCAAATAAAAAATTGTATAGTTTTTTTAACCTTTTTTTTTAAACAAAAAATTATTATTTTTTAATCACTAATAAATATTAAGATTCAAAATTTTTATTAATGCAAAACATTAAATCACCATATTAACTATTTATTTAAATTAACAGTAAATTATTTGCATATATTTTAAAACCATTTGAAAATAGAAAAAACACAAATAAAAATCAAATAGGTTAATACTTATTTATTAATAATATTGGTAAGTTAATTTTTAATCTAATTATATACTAGTCTTTTTTTTTTTTAATTATATTATGCTATAAATAAAAAATATATTACAAATTAGAAATTCTTAAAAATTAATTAAATATATTAATACTTTTCATTTGAAGCTTAAAAAAACTTCAATCTTTGTTAATATTATTTAAAATATTATAAAGAAGTCTTATTCAATAGATTTTTTATTTAAGCAAATATCAAATTAAATTATTTCCAATTAGAATAATTAGGTTCTAGAATTTAATAATATAATATTGAATAAAAAATATTCAAATAATTATTGTAATCTTGAAAACAAAATTCTAAAATTTATTAATATAATTTTAATTAATTTATATAATTAGATAATTACTATAGTTCTAAAAATAAAATTAAATTTATATAAAACTCTTTCTGCTGATCCTCTGATCACACACAAAAAAGATATTTGCAAGAAGTTTTTATACTTCTTTGCTAATAAAGTCTTAATACTTTCATTAAAACAACTTGAAGTATGACTTCAA